TTTTTCTTTTTTGTGGTGCTGGGTATCAAACCCAGGGCCCCATGTATACTAGGAAAGTGCTCTACCACTGATCTATATTCCCAGAAATAAATTATATTTATTTCTAAACTAACACATAAAAATTAAAAATATTTACACATTATTGGGGTAACATGATACTTTGATGCATATATATATATATGTATATATATATACACAGTGTAATGTTTAAACCAGGTTAAATGCATCAATCTCCTCATTCACTATTTCCTTTTTTATTTTTATTACTACATGTTTGTAATACATAATGATTACATTTATTGTGGGGAGTTGGTACATGTATAAAACACATTTTTAAAGTCCTCTTCCCCTCCCATCATCATTTCTTTATGGTAGAAACCTTCAATATACTTTCTTCTAGATTTTTGAAATATATTTCCAATACATTCTTTGGACAAGTTTTTATTAACACTAACAGCTATTATTTTTGACATTTGTTTTATACTGGACATGATTCTAATATAGTCATAAATGCTACCTCATTTAATTTACTCAAAAATTCAGTTCAGATGTTACCTCCTTAGAGAGGCCTGCTCTGACCCCTCTTAATTAGCTACCTTGTTGCTCTATTTTAGCTTTTATCACTGAAATTTTTGCTTTTGTATTTACCATGTCCCGCCTCCAGTTCCTTCCCTAATTAGATCGTTTGCTTCAGACAGCAGGACCTTTTCTGTCTTGCATTCTACCAAATCCACTGTTCCTAGAAAAATGGGACATGGCAAGCACCTAATAAATACTGAATGATGTTGCGAATGAAAAACTTATTGTAGATGAGGCCTCTGAAGCCCAGAGAGGCTTAAAGGGTAAGATCTCAAAGTTGGTGGCAGAAGTCATGTTTGAATCTGTATCTTTTATCAAGTGTAAAATATTGTCCTTCATATTTTATGAGCTGTTAAGAATGACATATCTTGACTGTAAGGCCTTCACGTAAGGGAGGGAAGACATGCACTTTAGTCAACAAAGCATTTGCTAATCCCTGGTAGGCACAGTATCCAGCACAAGGGACGGGGAAGTTAACAATTCAAATGCAGTGCTAGCCAGAGTGGAGTTCTTGTCAGGACTCAGCACAGAAGACAGACATTACAGGTAAGAAGTAAGGTACACATTTTGAAAAGGAATGTACAGGGATGGAAAAGAACAGCAAGGTAATTTCCCAGGGGGTTAGGGAAGGCTTTTCTGTGGGTGGGAATGAAACCTGTTCAAGAACTGGGCGAAGTATGGTGTAAAGGTCATGCAGAGGTGAAAGCAAGAAAGGCTGAAGGCAAATCAAGAATGGCCTTGAAAACGATCCATATAACTAATGACTGCACATGGAGAAGGGTCATGTGTCCTCACAGAGGTGGCTACCTGCGCCTGTCACAGGAGCTCAAAGAATGGAAAAACTTTCACCATTGAGAAAGGTTCATAATGGGGGCTGGGGATTTAGCTCAGCGGTTCTGCAGCCTGCCTCAAAAGCACAAGGACCCAAGTTTGATCACCTGTACCAAAAAAAAAAAAAAAAAGAAAGCTTCATGATGTCTTTATAATGTTCAGTACAATTTGAGAGGCAAAAGAATACAGATTCCTTGAGGTGAGAGAAGAGCATCCAGTCTTGTCTGCTTTCTTTCTCTCTCTCTCTTTCTCTTCCTTCCTTCCCTCCTTCTTTCTTTCTCTTGTTCTTCTTTCCCTCCTCTTCCTCCTCCTCTTCCTCTTCTTCCTCCTCTTCCCTCTTCTTCCTCTTCCTCTTCTTCCTCCTCTTCCTCCGCTGCTGCTGCTGCTGCTGCTGCTGCTGCTTCTTCTTCTTCTTCTTCTTCTTCTTCTTCTTCTTCTTCTTCTTCTTCTTCTTCTTCTTCTTCTTC